TCCAGTCAGACGACTAAACTACACTGAATTCCTCACACACCTGCAAAAAACACACATACTGTACAAAGTTGGACTTTTTCAAGGCTAGCAGTCAGGTGAAATCAAAGCAGGTATATCTATTGCACAGATAATGTGATAACTAGTTTGCAGCTAGAAACAGTTAGAAAGCAGGACAAATAGCAATGCAGGTATCTGCAACTGAAGTGACAAACACAAAGGACGGCATACTTGCATTCAGTCTGTACTATTTTTAAATGTCAATTGATGGACATCTTTGGCTGTTGCATAGTATCCTGCCATTATATATTTAAAGTAATAGTTCACCCCAAAAAAGGAAATGTACTCACCCTCAGTCCATCTAAATTGTAGATGACTTTGTTTCTTCATCACAACAGATTCGGATCCTCTGCAGTGAATGGGTGCCGTCAGAATGAGAGTCCAAACAGCTGATAAAAACATCACAATAATCCACAAGTAATCCACACAACTCCAGTCCATCAGTTAATGTCTCGTGAAGTGAAAAGCTGTGTTTCTAAAAAAAACTAATCCATCATTAAGAGGTTTTTAACTTTAAACTGTTGCTTCTGGCCAAAATACGAGACCGAATTCCATAATAATGCTTCCTCCAGTCTTGTGGATTATTGTGATCTTCGGACTCTCATTCTGACGGCACCCATTCACTGCAGAGGATCCACTGGTGAGCAAGTGATGGAATGCTACATTTCTCCAAATCTGTTCTGATCAAGAAACAAACTTATTTAAATCGGTCTGAGTGTGAATACATTTTTAGCTAATTTTAATTTTTGGGTGAACCATCTAAATGCTTTATAAGTGTGAGAAAATTTTTTGTAAAATCAGTATGCACGTTTTTGTCTCAAGAATTTAGCTGACAACAGATATCTCAGCTTTCAGGCCTAGTAAACAGACAATATGATCCTATTCAACTTCAAACGTTGATGAGATCAAGATGGAACGTGTTCTCTGTACAGACAGGCACACGCCAAAAAGGTAAAATAGTTAACTAATGACATAGTCTTTAGTAACTATGTACAACAGGAAGTTTTGCATTTTTGACCCTGCGGTCTTTAGTTTTTATTGTAAAGAAGCTCAGAGACTGTAAGACCTCCAGTCTGACATGAAGATGCATGATTCTTCTGCAACATGTAGGTGCACGTCAGACTTGTTTTGCTTCAGCAGGTAAAGGAATGTAAGACTTGCTGATGCCAAAAACAATTGAATGTCTGAAATTGCATATGCAAAAGTTAATCTGCGCTGTTTGATAAACAGGCCTCTTTCTGATTGAATGCATGACTATGCTGGAGTAGAAGACATGGATTAAAAATTAATCCAGCTAAAAATAATAATAAAGCAAATTCAAAATCACTTTCTTTATCTGCCTGGCATGAGCTTAAACCTCTACACATGACTCGCAAGTATCTGAAAATGGGATGTTTATCAACCACACAATGAAATACAGTATCTTTATTCACATGGATCAAATTACCTCACTCAAGTCAACCTTCAACCTACAACCACATCGCAAATGTTCAATAAAATAAAATGGAAAAAAAATAACATTGCGTCAATTGTAAAAGTATTTGCATATTATGGGATTATTTCTAATACCTAATACTACTATTTCTAAAAATCACTGTATTACAGTATTTTGTAACAAAAATAAAGAAAAAAAACAACGTAAAATGTCCATGATGGAAATTAGAATGAGATTTTTGCATTACAGTAAAGAGAATTTGAGAGGGAAATGTGCACAATCATCATGAGTACATTATCACATTGCCCTAAAATAGGCTTGATTTTCTTTATGCAAAATACGAATTCTTACATTTTACCTCTTGATTGTGACTTGGACATGTTTTCGTATATAGAGGATGAACATGTTTTCTCCCCGCACATTACAAATTAACACTAATGGATCATCTGCAGACCTTAGTGCACACCAGCTGAATAAAGTGAGTATTCTGCCAATAAAATACTTGTGCTTCCTGCTCAAAACCCACAGTAGGCTGTATCATTTTACATTTCATCTGAACTGTTGACCACATGTTGGTTGAGGTGGTGTAAGCAGCAATGTGTTGCAATGTTTAAGTCATGATTCTGCATTAAAGCAACCTGTTAACTCGTTGATATACAGCCTCATAGCCTGTGTACCTGACTATTAAAATCTTTACAGGAAATATTTTTAGATCTAACTTTATAGACTTCACTTCATTTGGAAATATATGAGCTTGGTTTAGTCATAAAGTTTTGTATTGATGCTCTTTTGTAGTTCTATGGCTGTCAAAACAAACTACTGGGTGACACATCTGTGTTTTTATGCTGCAACTCAAAGCGTTTACTCGTCTATATATTATATAATAATTTTAGATATAAAAAAATAAAGATTGTGTCTCAAAATCTAATGAGATGCCTGCTTAAACGCGTTCAAAACGCAAGTGTGAAGGCCGAATATGCTGTCTAGGTAGGGCGCTCACTACATTTTGAAACACAGCCTTGTTTTAACTTTTCCTTTACAAGAGCAGAGGAGACCCCGGATGAAGTTCAACTTGTTTTGATGAAGTAAATCAAAACAAGTTGAACTGACAAAATTCATGTTTCTTTGTAACTTGCGGTATATTATTTGTGTATTGTTGTATCTAGTCTGTAAGTTTACACTCGTGTACTACCAGCTGACGTGGAAACACTCACCTGACTCGCTTTATAAAACTGTTTCTTTAGTCCGGCAACAGACATCTTTGCGTCGGATCCTTTCGCTTTAACAAATTGAGATGTAATTTAATTCACCCGATATTTTCAAATGAAACTCTAGGCTTCAATAGAGCTGTGAAAACACTCTCGCAATATCTTCTTCCTGATCGGCCAGAGTTTGAACCTGCAGTGTGCACGTCGCCCCCTATCTACACTGCGACGCGACGCGACTAGAACGCTCCGATACACGCGTCGCGTTTAAAAGGAGAGTTCTGATTGGTCGACTGGTTGTCGACGTCAGGATTCCATCGCTCGCATTGAAGCATGTTTCAGAAGCTTCCAGCTCTAACCATGTGGCGTTCTTATAAGTTCTTTTTGTAATGTATTTATATTGCGTATTTTACATGTATTTTGTTATGTATCTGTAGCAACAGAAAAATAATTATGAGGAGAAACTATCTGGTCTGATTGGCAGATTGAGTGCGTCGCGTAGCTTGCAGATACAAACTCTCCAGCTTCCGGGTTAAACTTTAATTACCTGTGTGTTTAAGAACAGTTTCAAGACTAAAAACAGCAGTCAGACAGTATTAATTCACCTACCTCTATATATAATATAATGTCCTTACCTACATTATATATTATTTTTGATAAGTCAGGGTGACATATAAGTAATATTGTGTGTGTGTGTGTGTGTGTGTATATATATATATATATATATATATATCATGTGTGATATTTTTATTTATACACACACTTAACTACAATAATAGTTACGAGATTCAATTGAACTGAACTGAAATAAAGGTCAGTGAAGCAGACAAATCACAAGGGACATTTCTTTTTCAAGAATAAAATCCATCTTTTGTTTTTATTTTCTTTCATTTTCTTTCATTAAGTCATATTCTGTGTCTTATATTTCAGGCAGAAAGAACCTGTAATAGTACATTAGCAGAAAGAAGAAAGGTCTTAGACACTTTGTGATTGACATTCACAAAAAATATATCTTTAAATATAGCTACAGGACACAGTGATCAAGAATACGGGTCTCCTATTCGGTGAAAAGTGTGTATGTGTGCATAATGTGTGTGTGTGTGTGTGTGTAGTCGGCAGAGGATACTGGTGAGACAGAGACCAGTTATCTCCCTGAGAATAAATCTTTGTGTGTGTGTGTGTGTGTGTGTGTGCGCACAGAATAGAAACATTTCTTCTACAAAAATAAAATAAACATGAAACCACACAAATTGCTTTACAGGGTGACTGAATGAGACAAACACAATTTTGCCTTAACAGGAAGGCATGCATCACAGGCCTAGAGGTGGGGATTGTCAAAACAACACATTTAAAAATACATTACACAGACAGAACTCCCACACTTCTCATTCTGAAACAAGGGCAGGCTACACTCCTTGACGTGAGAGGTTGTAACGTTGGGCACATAAAAAGAAGACAGATTTCCTCTTGTTCATTAAAAACCGAGATACAACACCGTATTTCATCTTTCATACAGAATTCAAGCTCTCATTCATTCATCTGAAGCGCTTAAAACCAGTTGTGTAGTATATATTGTAGTACTATAAACAATACCATGAACCTCGACTCCATGTCTAGTCGAAGCTATGTTTTGGTGCATGAGTATGGAAAAATATGATGGAAGGATGAGATCCGGGTCAATGGACAAAAGGAGATGCAATCAACAATTTACAAAATAATACAATTTACAGAAACCACACTGGCCACAAGTTGCATGTGGCGTATCTGTACCCGAAACCTGCTGGACTGAGCTTTGAATGAATCTCTGATTTCTCTTGTTCTTTTCTTTCGATTTGTGAGAACAATGCTTTAGCATCTGAAGACCACCAGACATTTGATCCTACACGAGGAAGGTTCTCATAACATCAAGGTCGTCCCAGCTCTGTGTGTGTCCCAGAGAACAAAGTCGAAAAGCCATCCAGCCTGGCTCGGAATAACTGTCCGTCTCCTGTAAGTGTTTCATCTGGGTCACTTATAGAGGGCAGTTCCGGAAACAAAATCCATGCCAGTTCATCTTTTGGATCCGGTATTCCCATGCACATGCTGGAGGAACTCAAAAGCCGGCTGATGAAAGTCCTTTTCTAAAGACATTTCTATTTCTCTTCCTGCTCCACCTTTCTTTTTCTTTCTTGACTAAATATACTAATTTATTTACATTCCTATTCAAAATAATCTTTTAGAAATGTCCATATACATTAAATGAACATTTAACTGTTTCTTATTCTAAAGTGGCATTTACAAGGGAAGGGGATGTGGGACTGAGGTTTCTCATTGCATTAAAACGACAAAAAAAATCTTAAAAATGAAATTCAAAAATAAGGTGCAGCACCAAACACTGTCAAAATGTGCCTGAGCAAACAAGAGCATGTGTGGGTGGAACAACTGTGTCAAATATTCTATTTGCCGACAGAGTGTGACAGTCTGGTTCCGGAAGTAAAAACTGAAAAATGTTAACAATAACAGAACTGTTGTGAGCAGCGAGGTTGTTAATTGATAGTCTATTCTTTTGTTACAACCATCTGTTAGTCATATAGTCATATTTAACAGTGGAATTTGTAATGAGAAGCTACATTACCCATGATGCTATGCAGACAATCTCACAAATCAGAGTCGCACCCAGCAAATCTCAGCAAAAGAGCTTGCAGGGAACGCAAATGACACGAGTCAGTCAAAATACTTAAATATTTATGAATGTGCATGCATATTTTGAAATAAACTTAAAATATATCGTTTCTATTAATTCAATCCAAAACTTTAAATAAATCGTTTTTTATTTCACCATCATTAACTCGATTGTCAATCGCAGTGCTTCATGGATTTGTAGTTTTTCCCCCTCACTAAAGACATTAATACAATCTTGTACCTGTGTTTTTGCCCCTTTTAATTTTTTTTTGCTTCAACTAAAAGTTTGTAATGTTGTAATTCTCCTTGTAGCTTGTTGGTTTGGTTCATGGCTTGTAACGCTTTAACAAAGACCAAATCGCTAAAATTGGACGGGCACTAATGCACTCTATTCTTTATAGTCATGCCATAATTTGCAAATCCCTTATAAATAAGACTGTATTCTGTTGAATATGTTTTGCATATAAGAAGTTGTTTACTAGAGTCTAATACTGTACTTAATGTGACAAATTCTGCTGAATATGAGGTATGAGGTCATGTAAATAACTGTTAAAGTGAGGATTTTTTTCATTGCGTTATTGTAACAAAACAAGGCGTTCACAAACATTTGGCCATGACTGCATGCTTATAGTGATTACCAGGTGGATGACTAAAAACTGGTTTGTTTAAATATCTGTAAAGGAATATTCAAGGTTAAATACAAGTTAAACTGCCCCATAGACTTCCACGATAAGTGCATTTCTGTCAATACTTTGCTGAGATGATTCAAAATTATTTGTGAAAACATTTTTTCTAAATATATTCATTTCAAAATGATTATTTATTATTGATTAAATGAGCTTGACTTGTATTTAATGTGGAACGTTCCTGTAGTACTTGTAACATTGGTCCCTTCATTTTTAATAAACAATCTGGGCACATAATTTTTTGGGGGATTGTCATAAAGTCTCATAAAGCATAACGCAAGACCAAAAGTGCATTGTGTACATTCGGTCTCATATCAAAATAAGTGCTTTTGGGATACATTCATGACTCGTCTGAGGGTCAAAAAATGAGGGGAGAGGGAGGGAAAAAAAGTGATATTAGTGCTTTAAGAGTGATTTGGTGGGGAAGAACAGGTGACGGTCACCTAGTATGTTGTAGTCGCTTCATTAAAAAGTGTTGTGCTCTCCTGAATGTTCACGTGGAAGAGAGTTTGATCCTGTAAATTATAAAACCTCTCATAAAAACTCCTTTAAATATATCTTTGTATAGATGCAGAAGGAATAGTGCCATGCTTAGACATCAACAAGTTGGGACAAAGGCTTTTGCAAGCATACATCTGTACATAAAAGATAATTTCAGAGTGTTTCCATAAAATAAAAATGGATTTGAGAGCGCAACTCCAGAAATAATTTCAATACGAATAATCCCAATGTTTTGTGTGTTGTCGAATCTGAAATATTTTGTTGGCCCCTATGTTTGTGTATGAGCATTTGCGCAGCAGGTTAAGTGTGTGTTTGTAGTGTATTGTGTGTGTGTGTGTGTGTGTGTGTGTGTGTATGTATGTATGCTAATAGTGCTGCAACAGACTGAGGATTCTCCCTGGAGGTTTTTAAAATGTGTTTGTTTGAAATGCTGTTTTTTTACATGTCATGGCATCTCGTAATGATGCCATGACATGTAAATGGCTTTAACACACTCGTAATTTCCCCTTCACACTCTGTCATTCTCTCCCTCACTATCTCCCTCTTTTTCCCACTCTCTAACTGTTGGTGGAGTCAGGGAAGTTGATCTCACTGGCAAACACTTCCCTGTACAGAGGCGGGAAGCTGTACGCTGTTTCTGGGTGAACCAGGCGGAAGAACTCCAGCTTGTCAATATGCAGGTTACAGATGGACTTCATCTGCGGTAGTTTGACCACCATCTGCAAACACAATATGATAGACACTTTAGACAACAAATTAAAACTACTGGATGTTTTAAGCCTGACCTTTGGATTAGTGCACAAACACACTTTTTGCATGACTATTTAGTAGTAGCAAATCAACCAAACCATGGAACAGAAGTTATACTACTGTTCAAAAGTTTGGGGTCAATACAATTTTTAAAAATGCTTTTGAAAGAAGTCTTTCTTTATTCAATCAAAAATACAGTAAAACTCTGATTGTAACAGGTCTGCTGTTTTAGTTTCTGTATTCCCGTTTCCCGAGTTCCCTTGTTGATCTATTCCCTTAGTTGTCAATGAACTCCACACCTGTTTCTGTTCTCACTGATTACTTTCCTCCAATTATTTAAGCCATGTGTTCTCCTCAGTTTCATATGATGTTTTGTGCCCATGTGGTTGTTCTCCCTGTGGATTTATTAAAATTACTTCCTTGGACTCTACTCCTTCATTGTGTGCTTAAAACTACAGCCACATGTAATGGAATACAGGACCAAAATTTAGATTTGCAGAGATTTCTGTTTGTTTTGTTTTATTTTTCGTCTTCCTCCCTGATGGATCTGCCAGCAGTTCAACTCCTATGCTTGGAGCAGGGAGATTGCTCCCTTGAGGACCACACAAGGGACTTTATCAACCTGGCAAATCTCACCACCTTCCTGGACCGCTCGCTGAGGCTGACTTGATAGAAAATACACAGTGAGCGGCTCGGGAAGGTGGTGAGATTTTTGGTTCTGCGCTAGCCTGCTCGTGGATGGTCCTCAAGGGAGTTTTGCTGCATTTGTGGAGTAGGTGCTGGAGAATAATGGATTATATTTCTCCATCTGCCCCGCCGAGGACATCTCCAGCCTCACTCCCGATCCAGAGCCCAGCCAGCTATCACCATCACGTTATACGGCGCGTCTGCCCATGCCCACCACAGACGGAGAGCCAGAGCATGCTGCGATCGACGAGTTATCGCAAACAAGAGCGACAGAGTGGATCATCGCCCTGGAGCCAGAGCCTCAAGGCACATCTGACCAGGTGCGTGAGCCGGCAACACCGTGTATCGCCGTGGGTTTAATAGTGGAGATCGATGGCTTGGAGGAAAGCCCCGCCCACACGCCCGCCGCCGAGGGTGAGCTGAAACTGGCCTCTGGATATTATGAGGAACTAAAAGACATTTTTAATGTGGATTTAATAGACTGGTTTGGGGAGGTAATACCCAATTCTCCCGAGTCTCTGCTGGTTCCGCCCAGCTCCTGTTCTCCTGTGTTCCCTCCCAGCCTCCCTCTCCCACCTCCTCTCCTAAAACCAGCCAGTTCCTCAGCCCTGTCTCTGCTGTCTCTTAGCTCACCCTCAGTCAGCACCATCCAGGCATCCATTCGCCTCTGGTCTGCCAGTCTCCAGCTCTACCTTGGCGTAAGGATCCCCTATCTCCGCCTCCAACCTCTGAGTCCTGAACTCCACCTCGGCCCTTTGACCCATCGGCTCCGCCTTGGTTCCTAGCTTCCTCATCTCCACCGTTGCCCGTCATCCCAATCGCTCTACCAAGCTCCCTTGTCCCTCCAGCTCCAATGCGGTCTTCCGGATACCCGCCTCCGCCTTGTCTGCGCCGCCTTGGCCCTCCGGAACCTCAGTGTCACCCTGGCTCTGCGGCTCTTCGTCTCCATCCTGGGCTCCTTTTCCTCAGCTCCATCTCTGTCAGTTGGTCCCCTGGTGTCGCCAGCCCTACCTCCACCATGGCTCCTCCCTCCAGCAACTCCATTGTGGGCCGCTGTCCTGGCTGCGGTCTGGATCTCCACCTGGCTTCTCCCACCGTCTACTCTGCCCTGCCTCTATGGACTGTGTCCTCTCCCTTTTGCCTGCGCCTCGTCCTCCTCCTGAACTCCCACTCTCCCTCCTCCATTGGACTGTTCGGCGTGAGGACGCTCCTCAGTTTCTTTGTCCTATATTAATGATGTTTTGTGCCCATATGGTTGTTCTGTTCTCCCTGTGGATTTATTAAAATGACTTCCTTGGACTCTACTTCTTCGTCGTGCGCTTAATACTACAGCCACACGTAACAGTGATATTGTGAAATATTATTACTACTTAAAATAATTTTCTATTTTCTAACTTTTTCTATTTGAAATGTGTTTTAAAATGTAATTTATTCCTGTGATGCAAAGCTAAATTTTCAGCATCATTACTCCAGTCTTCAGCGTCACATGATCCTTCAGAAATCATTCTATTATGCTGATTTGCTGCTCAAGAAACATTTCTTATTATTATCAATATTGAAAACAGTTGTGCTGCTTCGTATTTTTGTGGAAACCATGATACACTTTTTTTCAGGATACTTTGATGAATAGAAAGTTTAAAAAGAACAGCAGTGATCTGAAATAACTTTTTTATAACTCAATAAGTGTCTTTACTGTCACTTTGAACAAATTTAATGTATCTTTGCTGAATAAAAGTATTAATTTCTTAAAAATAAATATTACTGACCTCAAACGTTTGAATGGCATATATTGTATATTTTGCAAATTGTGACAATTTGAACTGAATAGACATATACATACTTGAGTATAGTATATATACTCTATTATATGCAATTGTGTTAAATCCATTTGACCTTATATGATTCTATTGGCTGAAATAACTATTATTTTAAATTCAGTGGGTGATAATATAGCTTGCTCATCTGTGCAGTCTTAACTATTAAAATATGTAAATTATTATAATTTTTTAATACATAACATAATATATAATATAACTGTGGATGAAACGAAATATTTATTTTCTGTTTGTTTTCTGGGTGTGCAGAACTAGTGATTCTTAAAGACTTCAAGAGTCAAACAAATTCACAAATCAGTTTAATCTAATAACTCACTAAATCACAAATTATTTTAGGATTTGAAATTAATTGACTGAGCATGTTTTGTTAGTTTTGAAAGTTTTATTACTCTCCTTGGCTGATTCATAATATTAGTGTTTTAATTATTTAATTTCTTTTTCTTAAATATTCTTGAAGTTCATCTCATCTGTTTATCTGTAAAGAGCTGTGTGTGTGTGGTTTATCACCTTATCCAGTTTCTCAGTAGTGGCTCTGTTCATGTGCAGGCTGTGCTGAAGACCCACGTAAACCTTCTCCTGGAGCTTCTGCACCTGCTGAGACTCTGTCAACCACGGCCGATCTGAGCGCCACACAAACACAGAGCAGAGGTTTCAGACTGTGAGGATGTGTCTCATTTTATTCTTGTGTGCAAGTCTGAGCATGGCACATATTATATTTTTTTCTGAGAGTCTTTAAATGCAGCTTTATAAACCTTTGCTTCAGAAAACGAGTCTCACCCGGAGCCAGCAGGACCGCAGCGCTGAATAAAGCCATTTCCTCCTCACTCAGCTGAAGACGGCTCAGACTTTTAGCCAATTCAAAGACAGCGTTCACCAGGTCATCACACCCTACAAAGACATGCATATACTGGTTACCATGCTGAAGATGGAGAAACAAATTACATTTCCATTGAGGGCCATAATTTGCACAGAACCAATCGGTTTTTATTTAGCATGAAATTATTTCATGGATCTATTGGGTTCCAATAATTATGAAGGAAATTATAATATGTTCTGGGTACAAAGCTTTAGGTTATTTGTGAGAATAACACAGATTTAAGCAATAAAGCACAACAAGCTTTGCTTTATCATGAATATCATAGTTGGCCTCTATGGTTGTATTGTGCATTTTATCATAATATGAACATTGCATTTAAAGTTGTGATGAAACAGAAGTAGCGACAGATCATCACCAAACATCACTAAAAATATGTCTGTTATTTTCAGAAGACACAGTTATGATATTTTAATTAAACATTACAAAGTCATTAAAAAAAATAAAACATTTGATTAAACATGCATGGATGAATTGTTTACAAAATCTATAACATGCATTCAGAAAATAGATAGGATGAATTTCATTTCATGCTTTAAACATAATCTAATAAAAAGAAGTGGTACAATCTACAAATAATTCTACCAACTTCTTCCAAAAATAAATGTTTTTATTTGATATATTATGAGGCAAGATTGCTTTCTGCAATGCTTCCATTTAACTTTGATGAGCTATTACTCACCCGAGCATCGCTTGTATTCACTAACTGGGTTAAAAACCCATTAGCTCTTGTGGCTTATTGATTCATGACGCCTCTGCTCTTGCTCTTAAGAGGCTGCTGCTGTTTTGCATTATAAGGTAAAGAGGATGCGTTTGATGTGGAATACTAGAGTACTGAATGCTGCCTACTATTTTTTTCCAAAATTTTTCACATTATGGAACTGTACAAATTTCAAATAGCAGTTTACTGCTACATTGGTATCACATGACCTCATTACATCTGATACTTAAGCACTACTTAATCTTACCTGCATGTTTAGTTTCACAAGGGTATCTAGTTATTCTCCCAAAAATGTTATTTTGCATACATATTGTATTTGCAATACAATTTTGTGTAAAACCGTATCAGTAATATAAATAATAAAGTAGTATAGCACGCTATTCTGAGTTCACAGATTACATCTAGTTTGCATCTGGAAAGTAAAATTGAGTGCATTAAATTATGGGATGCCTGAACCCAGTATGAATGTGTTGTATATTGCACATTTTAGCAAATATAGCAGGTCAACCATAGCTATTCTATGTTTACACTTTACTTAAAGCCTTTATATATAATGATTTGTAAAAGTAGTTTTAATGCATTAATTATGCCTTGTAATGCACCTTATAATGCATTGTATGATTTCTTGAGTAATTGTAACATTTGATGTGGAATACTAGAGTATTGAATGCTGCCTACTATTTTTTTCCAAACTGTTTCACATTATGGAACTGTACAAATTTCAAATAGCAGTTTACTGCTACATTGGTATCACATGTCCTCATTACATTTGATACTTAAGCACTTAATCTTACCTGCATGTTTAGTTTCACATGGGTATCTAGTTATTCTCCCAAAAATGTTATTTTGCATTTGCAATACAATAATCAAAGTGATATAAATAATAAAAATAGTATAGCATGCTATTCTGAGTTCACAGATTACATCTAGTTTGCATCTGGAAAGTAAAATTGAGTGCATTAAATTATGGGATGCCTGAACCCAGTATGAATGTGTTGTATATTGCACATTTTAGCAAATATAGCAGGTCAACCATAGCTATTCTATGTTTACACTTTACTTAAAGCCTTTATATATAATGCTTTGTAAAATTAGTTTTAATGCATTAATTATGCCTTGTAATGCACCTTATAATGCATTGTATGATTTCTTGAGTAATTGTAACCACAGTTATAATACATTATAATACTTATCTATTCACTGTTACACATTTAGAAAGTATAATGCATTAAAACACGTGACAACCTTCAAATATTATAATGCATTTTAACATTAGATACAATTACTTATGAAAAGATATAATGTATTACAATGTATATCATGAATACCTTTATAATGCATTAAACATAAAGGCTTCAAGTGTTACTAATAACTTCTCAGAGTATACTGTATACTTTTGAAATAGTAGCCATAAAATCCACAGAGATTGTTAATACATCCGTTAACAAAGAGACACAAATCAGCGAGCGCAGTCACATGATTGACCATCTATTTATGCATTTGTCTAATATGATGATGGGGCACATCATCTAATATGATAATGGTGTACCTTGATCTGAAAGCTGCGGGTTTCTTCAGGTGTGTAGAGGTTCCAGATGAGTTTTTTCAGCTCTTCTGTGCTGTACTGACACGTCTCCAAGTGAGACTTCACAACATTTTGAGTGATTCGCTCTAAACAGAAATTCAACACATGAACACATTTTTCTTTAGTATCTGTGTATCTAGATATAAATAAATATATCAAACAGATATAACAAACAAATAGTATAAAAATTTTATATAGCTATAGTATACCTATAGGTACATTTAAAGGGGTCATATGATGCGATTTCAAGTTTTCCTTTCTCTTCGGAGTGTTACAAGCTGTTTAAACACGCCCCCACACGTCTACGTCACGATGTGGGAAGATTTGCATAACGCCACCCAAATGTTCACGCAAAGAAAGAAAGCCTAACTTTATTGTTGTTGCCACCGCCACCACCATGTTGTGAAGACGCTGTGTGTTTCGTTGCGAAAGCGATACTACTTTGTTTGGCCTCATCACAGTATGGTAAGGGACGTAACATTTCCGTCACACGCTTGAGGTATTCGGCCAATCACAACACACTGGATAGCTGGCCAATCAGAGCACACCTCGCTTTTCAGAACGATGAGCTTTGTAAAAATCTACGCATTTCAGAAAGGCGGGGTATAGACGAGAAACAATAATGTACAGTATGTGGAAAATAATGTGTTTTTTTTTTTACTTTAAACCGCATAAACACATTTCATTACACCAAATACACCAAATAATGTTATTTTTTAGCAACATCATATGACCCCTTTAATATAGATAGATTATAAAATTGACTAATTATAAATAAATATAATTAAATAAACATATATATATATATATATATATATATATATATAAAATAAAAAAAACTTATCCTTGTTATATTAGCATATATTAGCACTAAAATTAATAAAGGACAATATCATAAAATGAAAATCTCTAATGACAGCTCACCTATGTCATGTAGAGAGCAGTTGTCTGGTAGAGATCCCAGGAAAGAATGCGTAAAAAGACTGTTTTCAGGCAGCATATACTCATGCTTCACCCTTGCTGCTTCTGCCAAATCTACAGCGCTGGGCTCTGGAGAGCTCCGATTGGACGAACTTCCACTTCCAGCACTCCCAAACCCACCGCCGCCCCCGAGCATCTCCAGAGTGCAGTACTCGCCTGCCTCCTCTGGGCTGAGCGGCAGGTCAAAGAGCAAACCGTCAGGCAGCGTGGCGATGTCGTCCAGGTCACTGAGGGTGGAGCTGGAGCCTCCACTGCTGTACGGCCGGCTGTGCGTGATGTCTTCATCCATCTCTTCATGGTCACGCGGTGCCAGACCACCACCCAAACCCGCCAGACACTCCTGAGACAGCTGCTGGTGCCGCTGCACCTCCGCGAACAGGCTGTCCCGCTGTTTCTTTGACATTCGGCCAAACTTCACCGCTACAGAAAGAAAAAGTATTACATATTCACTTAGTATCATTTAAATATCATTTATATAATTTATAGTATTTATTTACAGAAGTCTGAGATCAGATTTGTTTTTGGAGAAATTCAATCTTTTATTCAGTAAGGATGCAAAAACTGATCAAAAGTGGCATTTATAATTTTCATTTATAAGAAAAAGATTTCTATTTCAAATAAATGCTGTTCTTTTTAAATTTCTATTCATTAAAGAATCATGAAACAATGTATCCATAAAAATATTAAGCAGCACAACTGTTTTCAAAATTGATAAGAAGAAAAATAAAATGTTTCTTGATCAGCAAATCAGCATATTAGAATGACTGCATAATAATAAGAATGACAACTGAACATATTTTGAAATATTATACATTTTACAGTGTTTTTGATTAAATGTGTAAGAGGTTTCTTATACTTAACTTAACTGTAGTGCATATTTATTATATGTATTACTGTATATATGACTGTTTAGTTGTTGTTTTTTAAATTTGCAAAATATTAATGCTAAACATTAATTATATTGTATTTATAAATTTTTTTACTGTAAGTGCATTAGTATAATACAATTGTTGCATGTATATATATATATATATATATATATATATAGATTGAGCTTCTTATATAGACATAATGAATACATCAATGAATGAAAAAATAAATAAATGTGTTTTGTGATAGTAACACAATTATATAATATTTTTATATTTTGCATATAGTGGTGGAATGGAAAAAACTAAGCTTGCAAAAACACGCTAAGTAGGAAAAAAACATCCTCCATTTTGTCTTTCTAGCTCTGTCAGCTGAAAGCAATGACCAAGATACACTGTGGCATGCAATGGAAAAATCTGTAAGCCCTTGGGTGCCCCTCCCGTACCGCTCTCTGTAGTGTTATATAACCTTCGTCTGCAAACATTCCACAAACACTGCATTCAGGGCTGCTCAGTCTAATAATGCAGATGTTCTGCCTCCCTGCCACTTCTGACAGCCTATTGGTTTATGTTTGGGCAGATGTGTCTGTGATTGGCCGGCTCCGAGTGTCGCTCAATTTTGCCTGGCTGTAAGCCCATGTGGACTCGCTGTCCTACTGACATACTTTCTCAGTGAAAAGGGGAGAGCGGCTGTGGGCGGATCCTCGGCGCATGTCATTTTGAATAGGCCTTTCCCTTCTCTTTGTTAAGGTGGAACTGGTCTCGATGGGAACACGTAACAATTTTGACAAAGAAGAACAGGAACAAGACAAAATTAATTTCTAAATTTTTGTGTAAATAATACTCTGTATAATAAATAAAATGTTATATGAATATTTATATTGTGAGTACTATTATTATTTTCATTATTACATTATTTTATAATATTTAATTCTACATGTGTAACCTAAAAAAAGTGCATTAACACATAATGTGTGTGTGTGTATATATATATATAAAACAGTTCTTTCTGGTTCATCTGATTGGCTGAGAGCCTTTTCCAGAGGTGCGATATTCTTCTTTTTTTTAGTCTTTTTTTATGGCTTTTCTATTTAAACCTGTCAATTTAAATAGCTTGTATATAAATCAATATAACATCATATATATATATATATATATATATATATATATATATATATATATATATATATATATATATATATATATAAACAATGGGGT